CCTTGATAGAACAGTGGTCTCACCACATGAAAAGAAGTATCTGGCAGGTTTATTTTTTATACTTTTTGAAGTATTATTGCCTTAAGCCTGCTATTTCACCTAGATAGAAGAATTTATAGGCCAATTAGCAAGCATGCTAAAGAGGTGTGCCAGTCAATTCTTAATGATATATGACTTGAAATGTTACTGTTATACCTTAAGGCTCCTGACAGAAGGTGAAAAGAAGGTCAGGCTCATTTCAGAAGTGTCACTTCCAATCAAAAAAACAGACTTTGGGCTAGATTCTGGTGTGACAAGAATGATCACAGATGGGGAACTCGAGAGGAGCATGAAGCTAAGAAGTCAACTTGTTTTTCTTAGGGAAGAAAGGAAAAGAAATGAAATAGTGCCACATGTACACATAATGGGCTGCATAACAAGAAGTAAAATAAGGATCAATGACAACTCCCTGGTGGTTTTTTTTTTTTACAGAAATTGGACCATACACCTTATTTTCCCTAACTGCTTTTTGTCATAGTCCTTGTTTCTCATACAGTTCAAAGAATAAACCTGTTGGTAGCAGTGAGCATGCCAGCAGCGTGAACAACAGTGGAAATATCAGTTTTCATCTGCAGAGTGACACAATACAAGACAGAGAGGTTGATGTTTGCAAGGTCCTAGTCAGGGATGAAGGGCTCTGTGGCTGGAGAGCTTATTGGGTTGAGGGTTCAGCACCAGCTGATCACAGGTAAGCAGCAGAGGAAAATGAACAAACAACGTTGACAGCAGAGAATTACAGCCCTAGAGGTTTGAGACAGAAGTCAGGTGAGTGTCACTTATTTTTCCTGAGACCTTAACAGAAGCTTTGCTTTCTGTTTCTCCAAAGATAAAACCGGTGCTATACCAAGACTTTATCACAAACCTTTAGCAGGTTTGGGCCTCTTCTAACATTCAATTTGTGTGACAAAGCAGATGCCTCAGGAACCTCCTTCAGCTGTGGTGAAATGATTGTGGGCTCTTTTACCACCACCCACCTTTATTCTGAAATGAGGAGAACACTTGTTTCCTGTGATCCTAAGGGAACTCCTTAAGCAAAGTAATTTGAAAGGTATCATTAGACCTATGATCTGAACAAAGACCATCTCATATTTGATTTCAGTACGTACAGAAGTTGCTGTTGGTATCGACAACTGATGTCATTAATAAAAAAATTAATTCCAGTTTGTTCTTGAAAGGCCTTTGAAAGAAGCCACATTTTATACTATCTCTCAATTATGTTCTCCTCTTCAAGAAACTTATATGTGACTGCAACTGAAACACAACCTAGAAAAACTGGGATACTTGCTTCCTTAATCATAAAACAAAGAAATTAACTTCCTCTTTCATTATAGAGAAAACCCATGAGAAAGTGATTTTAATATCAAGTTTCTCCTGTTTTATGGTTTAAGAAGCCAACTCCCCAGCGCTGTGAGGGATTTTTTTTTAAGTATGGAAAAATGCAGCTTCATCCACATCCTTTGTCTAAAATGATACATCTGGTTTTATTTTGCAACTACAGTAGTTTTGCTACTACTTTTTTTACTAAAACTTTTATCCAAAAATTAAAGATTACCTCATAAATGCATAAATAGACTTCAAGAAAATACACCTAATAATAAAGAAACTAAGTTACAGTGATAGTGTAATAGCAAAACTTCAAAATTGCATTCACTAAAATCTGAACATTTTTGTCTCCTCACTGTTTTGTAAATATTATCTCCTGAGGGAGACTAAAACAGCAATTTTGTTATTCAAAACCCCCATGCACTGCCAAAGAAAAGAAAAAAATACCTATACCCTCAACACATATTTTCTGGGGACATAAAAGGTAGCAATTACGGACGGGATGCTGCTCCCCTATACTGAGGTGTCACAATTGACAGAGACGTCCCTGTGCCTTGTGCTTTGTTTGAAAAGATAAAACTCTCAAATATTAAAGGACCCCAAAGACAAAGAAGCAGAGAGAAGGCAATTTTTTACGCAACTGTGTCCACAATTGAACAAATATCTCTGAACATATTTCTGTGCTTATTTTTGCAAAATTAATGGAGAAAAAAGTTACATTTACCCCCATCACAGTTTGAGTTATTTTATGCTCTTAATATAAATGCGGTTACATGAAAAATACTGGTATTCTTTTCCATTTTTAAGGAGTGATTTGGAAGACCTGTTTCTGGCATGGTGATTTTGCTGCATTGCTTTTAGTGGCACTCTAGTTACCTTGATAATATGTTAATTTGATAATATACTTTAAAACATTTGGTATGTTCAACAATACATTTAAAACATTTGGTATGTTCAACAATAGAGGATTATGGAGTGAAAATAACCTGCAGAAGGCTCACAATGCTCCCTTAAAATTCCTGAACTGAATAATATCCACATGTGCAAGATGAAGTAGGACATCCAGATTGAAAGGAAATTAGATGAAAATTAGAAAAAAATATAATTAGAAAAATATTTCTAATACTTTTAAGGCAAAGCAGTCCTGCGCACAACAGAATCAGTTCTGGGAAGAGTGAATTTATGTCCTTGCCACAGAGAAGCCTACAGATCGTAAACATAAGTGTGTAGTTTTACTTTTCTTTGGATTAAAAAAATTACAGAAAACTCTTCCATTAGGCAAACACAAACAGCTCTGAGGAGACCTTTACCACAACACGTGCTGATAATGAGCTCTCATAGAAACGGACAAAACACATCTGAGAGCTGGCAAGAGCACGTACATTGTAAAGGTAATCCACCAAAAGAGCTCTGTTCTTTAGCCTGGAGGAGCAAAAAAGTGCTTTATAGGGAGCTGTTAAAGTACAGAGAAGCCCTATGGGAATACTGAAAGAGTCAACAGCACAGAGTTAAAAGTACCAATCTGAGATCCAAAAGTCATCGAAAAAAAATAAGAGGAAGACTTAAAAAAGACTTCAGATAGTGAGTGTCTGTGCATGTGTTAGTAAACAGAGCATCAAAGAGCAGACCAAGCTGCAGTGTGACGCATTCATATCCAGACATGCTATTTTTGGCTCCTGCACTTTGAGTATGCAAGCCTAGTGTGTGAGAACTGTTAATTCAGGAACAGGGATGATGACTACTTTATGGGGTAAAATTAGTTTGCTTTGACACTTTTAATCTCACTGTAGCCTAATACTGGAATCCCAACAAAAGGCCATAATAAATTCAAGTTATCTGATGATGGAGTTTAAGCACAAGAGTAGGTCAAGAGTGCTGCATTTTTCAGTATCCAAGTTTTAGCTTAGTAATGTTACTATAACTTTTCCACACTAACACAAATTGGCTTTACGAGCTCAGGAATATTTTCAGTTCTCATTCACATCATTTATTCAAATACCCTGTGAACCTAATTGCTTACTTAAATAAATATTTTCTTTGAGCAATCTGAAGCAGAAATAAACTACAATGCAAAAAAGTGACTAAGTGTAGGAAGAGGTGGAAAATTAACTGCTGCCAGCACAGGCTGTCTGAAAAAGCCCATAAATCAGTAGCCATTCTCATTGCTATTTAGAGTGTGTACTGATACAACTTTCTCCTCAATACATTTGCCAGTATTCCCCAAATAATATGTTCTTAATGGGACAAAAAGGAGATAAATACACTTTAAAAATCAACCTACCCAAAATTATAACCTGTCAAATAACTTAAGGAAGCAATCAAGGCTTCACTTTTGAATCCTTCTTTGGCAACAATCTTAAATATTTCAAAATATGAATACTTTTTCAACATTCACTCACATTACTTAATTGAGTCCTGTACAGTTTTCTCTCAACATGTAGAGGCATGGTATAAGACTCACTTGAAGCAAGTGCATTTACATAAGCCTGATGTTTGCATCAAAACCTTCCTACACACACGTGGCTCTGTGGAAGTACAGTATAAAGTACATGCAGATTACACTTTTCATTAGAAATGGCTTCCTTTCTAAGAGCATTTGAGAGTATTTATGGCACTCACAGTGTACCCATGACTACAGTTTCCAGGTGCACCACATAATGCACAACTTTCTCAAGCAAGAAATGTAGATTTCATTACTCCACAGCCATATTCTGCTTTAAGCTCTCAGCTAATTAACAAGGGCAACAGTTTTGTATATTATGCGCCATGCACTTAATTTCTAATACAGTGCATTAATTATTGATATTGTAAATGATGGGCACTTCAACTACTCACAACGCAGCTGCAAATAACTTTCATTACCTGATCTTGTGATTTCTTTTTCTTCTTCTTCTTCCCCCAGCACCCTGAACTCTCTGCATCTTTTCCATTGGCATCACCACAGAGTAATCCATCGAGTTCATCTGTTCCCATCTGCTGTCCCTGAGATGTTTCTGCAGCTAGCCTGTATGAGAGGTTCCTCAAAATGCACACACAGTTTTCAACGGTCTGAAAAGGATGACAAAGAGAAAAATAAAGAAAACAAAACCAGACAAAGACTCAAATCCTCCCCTTGCTCACTCTGAATGCAAAGTGGAAGGAATTTCATCTATCTTTGCACACGCATTTTCCCAGCACATTCAATGTGCACATCTGAGTGCTCCCCAGGTAATCACAGCTTAAGAGATTCAGAAAATTTTATGGTAGCAAATCAGTAGTCTGGACAATATTTTTTCTTGGAGTCTTTTTACTATCATTCTGAATTTCATGCTGGAGCCCCTATGAAACACACACTGAGGTAAAAAGTGATCAAGAGAACCTGAAAAATGTCAGCAAACTCCCACCTCAGTGAATAGAAAATGCTACAAATAGGAAATGGCAATAGATTCTGGGTTTGGTTTTCTCCTTTTAAAACCAGAAACAACCTTTTTTTCCTGGCATAAATTCTATATAAATTACCATAAAATTGGGATCTGAGTCCCATTTCGTAAATACTTGTAGCATGAACAGAAGATGTTTCTCCAGCCCCAGAAGTAGGATGAGAAATCTGAGTTCTTGCTGCTTTTACTGCTTCTATCCAGGCTGCAGACAGACACCTTGTGTGCAGCCTTTCTCTTTCATCCATTTATCCCCCTAATAGGCTGTGCCTTCTGTAAGAGATGCAACCAGGAATCCATAAATGGATGAGACCCAGTGGAGGAAAATTCACTTGTAATTCAACCTAATTTCTGCAAGTCTAAAAGAAGTTCAGTTTAGATGTGAAACCCACTCATTTAGTTGGTTCAGTTTGGTTTGATTATCCCTAATAAGAAGGATATGAGCTTCATTTTCTGCATGCAAGGAAAGCATGGTTAAAAAGGCCATTCTCTATCTATTTATATTTATTTCAACTGCTCCTAATGCTCCATGGAGATAAAAAGCAATAGCCACTACATGCCAGCTCTTTTGCTCCATTAATGCAGAATGGAATAATTGTGAAGCTTTCAGCTCTACTGTGTTCTGCCATATTCACCAGTGAAGCAAACAGATGGGGCTTCGTTTACTTTCATGTGCTGCCATGAGCTGCTGCCAGGTATGCATTCAGCACAAACTTTTTGTATGACACAAAGTTCCAGAGGCAATATCAATTTCAGATTCATCTACACAGGAATATTTATTTATCTACTTTTTTTAACACAGATGAAATTTCACAATTTCGCAATAAATTTGTACTACTTTGAAATTTCTGCCAAATACATACACATGCAGAAATATATACTTACATGTGTGTGTCTGTGTGCCTAGAAGTTGTTCTTAGAGCACCTTTTATAGCTGAAAGCTTTGCAAACATCACAGTGACCATAAATATTTCTTAAAGTTTGTTGCCTCTTAGATTTTTTTTAACATTATCACACATGAATTTTATTCACTTTTGATAAAATATGCTGAAGTTGAAGCTTTGCATCAGTTGATTAGGAACATAAGCTTTAATTTTCCTTTTCATAAATCATAGTTTTGGCATTTAAAATTCTGATTTTGTGGAAAACATAAGCTGAGTCCATTATGAGGATAATGTTACCTTAAATTAAAAACTGATAAGCAAACTTCCAAGGCTCAAATGCAACCAACACTTTCTCTACTAAGGTGAACTTTTACAAGCCAAGAAAGCTGATTCTAACCACACAGTTTGGACAGACTTCACTTGTTGACTTTCAAGGATCCTTGTACTCCTTATTCAGTTTTCAGTTTCATGGTAAGGGGGCTAAGTACAAGTTTACTAGCCTCTCTACTGCAGCTACTTTTAAACTACTCTGAAGCTAATGAAGTCACAAACACTCCCGTGTTTGGGGGCTGCCCAGCAAATGTGTCTGGGTGGGGTAGTGGGGGGCTGGTGACAGCCAAGCTTGTCCCAAACCCTGCTGCCAGGTATAGTGCCTGCCTTCTGGATGGGTGTCCTCTGAGCATCTCTCTATTAAATGTCTGCTAATAGAAAATTTATTACAGACTAATGGGTTGTGGGATTTTTTTTTTTTTTTTGTGTGAAGTTGTTTTTGTTTTGTTTTGTTTCTTTATTTTTTTTTTTTTTAAGCCATGGTGTTAGCCCAGTACTTCATGCCATGAACCTCTCTTAATTTCTCTCTCTGTACCCTGAATTCACATTCTTTGATTCAGGTAGTGACCAGAGACTCTTGGAGACTATCCCTCTCAGATCTATAAACCCATGGATGTCCATCGACAACTCTGTGAAGTATTATTTGGCAATACAAACCCAGTGGGCTGTGAAACCTTGCTGCATGAACGCTGCTCTCCTGCAGCTCCTAGGGGTTTTCAAATGGACTAAGGTTGCCCTGGAGCAGCAAATGTAATCAATTTAGCACTATATACTAAAAGCAGAAGAAACTGGCCTTTTTCTTCTTCTCTGGACTACTTTAATGTATTACAAATCTTCAATTTGTAAATGCTTGGAGTCTTTTTAATTAGGAAGAGTCTTTCACCTCTGGAGAAGCTTGTTCATATCCTAGTATATTAAGAGAAGTAAAGTTGACATAATGAGGCATCTTAACACAATTGTTACTGGAAGCATTCACTGATCCTCTTCAAAGAAGAAATAATGTTGGTTTTGCTGCAAAACTGCCTATTAATCACCCAGTTTTTTTTGACTTGTTTGCCTGCTAAGCCTATCTCACTGTTACTAGCTCTATCTCACACTGGGTACTGAAAATCAATTTTAAGGTAAAACTGGCAGAGCAATGTGAGGAACTTTACATGGAATATGATATATTTGCTCTTCTTAAACCAGCACCATATTTTCTACTTCAATAATTCAGTTGAGAGGATGACATGCTTCCCTGTGCACACTACACAGGTAGACACAAATACAATGCTTAGCACACTAAAATAAACAGCTCAGCACAAGAAAAAGGAAATGATGGGCTAAATTATGCTTTGCTAAGACATTCCTCACAATGCATTTAAAAACCACACTGTGAAAAAACTCTCTTTAGAGTCCCCATGCACCCTGAATACCTKGATTTGCTGCTGAAAAGACAAAGATGACAAACCTTACTATCAATTTCACTGCTCCCCAGAGCAGACTGGATCACGTACAGCAATGCATCTGTCAGGCCATCACACTCCCTCATTCTTCTGCGGGCCTCCTCTCCAGCAGAGCTGACATTCCTGCAAGGCAACAGCAAGGGTCACTATCCCCACAGCCCTCTGCCCCGCCTGAAACCTTCTCACAGTTCCCATACAGATAAAACACACGTTTTCTTTCTCCTTTCATCAGTTCAGAGCTGTGAGTAATGGAGACAGCTGCGAATGAGCTCAGGAAATGTCACGCAGAGGGGATCCAATGGAAGACATCAGGTCCTCCACAGGATGGGGCTGAGTGGCCAAGCAGCATGCGCCCACCTGCACAGGGAGACTCGTGGCCCACTAAAATTTGGAGAASGGCTGATTATCTATGTATCTTTCTTTCATTCTCTCTTTCTTTCTTGGTTTTATAGTACTGAGAAAGCATTTTTAAAATGTGCATATGTACATATAAATTAGGATTTTAAAAGTCTAGAGGTTTTGCCAAATGTGTCTCATAGGAATTGAAGAACCCAGTAGTTAGGGCTCTTAACCTGAGAGAAAAATATTGCCAGAGCATAATATAAAACACCTGATGTTGCTTGCTTCTCATTTTACATGGGTGTTTCCTTTTCTCTTTTGTTTTGAGGGAACATAAATGCCTCAATCTTCTCTTTATGTAGTTGGAAGTTGTTCTACATTGCAAAACTTCAGGCCTCAGATTATTATAATAATATTTGAATACCTGTGTTCCTTAGACTGGGACAGACGGCCTTCTGAACACATTTATATAAACTCAATTAAAGCAAAATTTACTGCACAACACAACGTGTCATAAAGTTCAAAGTCCTGATACACGAAGAAACAAGTATGAATGAGCATATACAAACAGAATCTATATTTGCTAACATCAAGTCTCCAGAGAAAAACTACCCATATAAATTTGCACAGCAGGTTTGATTTGGAAATGGGTAAATTAGCAATCTGAAGAATGGGGTAAAATGTTTCACACTGTGTCCTTCAGTAGGGGAAGACAACCCTTTGCTGAGGTGGCYCATCTGTAGCTCTTCTTTGCCCACCACAGAAGTTTATACAAAGGAACAACRTAAAAGAGCACACACACCAGACCTATGTATTTAATGCCAATGTGTGGAAATGGAAGGGAGGACACTAGCCCTTGAATYTGGGAAGAAAGCAAGACACTTTCTAACTTTTATGCCATTTTCAACGACCTTTGCATTAAAGATGGAAAAAAGCATAGGAATCCTGGGAGGGGGGAAAGAATTTCCAATGATGGAAGATGAGAGAACTTAGGGATAGGTTTCCTCTCAAGTCTTTCTCTGCTGTACCTACTCCATCCTATTCAGCCTCCTTATTATCTAAAAACAATAATTAAAAAAAAAAAAAAAAAGCATTTCCATTCCCCCAAATCAACAAGGAGTCTTATAACTGGACAATCCCCCAGCCCCTCCAATGCAGGTTCCTAATTGGTTCTGCTCCCTAAACATATATGATTTACCATCTATACTTGCATCCCCACACAGTCCTAATTAATGSTGCTCTCCCACACACAATCTGGCCCAATTAATTCAGTACTGTTCCCTTCACCTTGGCAGACAGCTTGACAGAAACCATATAGCCCTGGACTTAATTCTTGTATCTCTCTASAAAACAAACTCATTCTCCATGAGACCCTTCATTTTTTTGCCACATTACACATCAGAAGTCTGCCCTTCATAACAATTTGCAARTTTTGTGTTGTCTGGTTCCTCTGGTCCCTAAACTCCATGCCTCTTCCCCTATCTCTCTGCTGCTATAAGATCAGCAGGTGAGGGGTTTTCCTCCAGTTCATRGGGAAACCTCCTTCTGTCATCTAGGAAATAGAGTCTGGAGAACATCAGCAGCAAAAACTCTCTCCCTTTGAAGTGATAGAAGCTTGTGACATACCTTTGTGTGGCAGAAATAACAAGGTAAGATATACGACATGTTTTCCCCTAAACAATGTCTGTGCCCTGTATCTGCAGGGCTGGGGACTCCACCTAAAGCAGAGTAGACTATCCCCTTTAATAGGCAACAGCTCCACTGAAATTCTGAAAAGGCAGAACATGAAGGAAAAGCAGAAYAATGGATGGGAAAAGTGCATTGTGGGGTATGCAGTGAGGACAAGGATTATTTGACATCTACCTAAAATTTATCTCACTGGCTAGGAAGATAAAGACAGAGGAGGGTAGATAAATATGGATAAAGAAAGGGCATTGAGGCACTGGAGCAGGTTACCCAAAGAGGYTGGGATGTCCCTTTCCCTGGCAGTGTTCAAGGACRGGCTGGACTGGGCTTTGAGCAACCTGGCCTAGTGGAAGGTGTCCCTGCCCATGAGAGGATCTTAAAATTCAACTGTCTTTAAGATGCTTTCCAACCCAAACCACTCTATGATCCTATGACTCTAAGATGCAGAAAGAGAGTTGTATCCAGCCCTACAAGAGTATGGCACAAATTGTAATASAAGGTTGCTGAGGAAGAATTCGCAGCACAGCTTTGCACCATTCCTTGCATTGCTGTGAAAAAAAGAAGTTTACAGTCTGTACTAAAATACTGTGTCTAGGCTTCTTTATTGTCTGTACTTAGCACTGAGTGCAAGCTTTCAAGATAAACTGATTTAGACATCAGTAGAAGCAGAGAGATATATTCTCTYGGATCTTCTCATTGAGGTGATTTTTCCTTCTCTCTGTCATGGCCAAATGCACATCACCTTGACTGCCCAGAGCCTGCAGAGGCTGTCAGCTTCTCAGTTCCTCTCTAAGTTCATCCCAAACTCCTCCTCACCAAGACAGCAATGCAGACAACCTTATAGTCCCAGAGCTGTGAGTGTCTGCCTCATTCATTTCCAGCARACGGAGAATATGAGGCCTTTACACAAAGCAATACAGACAAACCAGGGGCACATCTTGCACAGACAATGCATTTCCTTGCTCTGTGTGGAGGAGCTGTTGAGCTGGGTTCCTCTGTTTATCATCATTCCCCATTATGTTCCAGTTGCTCCTGTAATCAAGAGGTGGATATTCCAAATTCCCATGACTGCCTTTCCTTTCTTACCAAAGCTGTTTACTCTGCACTGACTCATAGCTACTACAGCCCTCCCCAAGATATGGTGCACTTATTTACATAGGAATAGCTTAAAAACCAAAACAAATCSAAACCTTGCATCAACATTCTGTCAGAAATAACCAGTTGATTATTTAAARTAAAATACATCCCATTATCCAGCTAGACCCATGTCACCTCTGTTGAAGTAAACACTGTTAACTGATCATTCAGAGGGTCTCTAATATCAGCATGTTCAGGTTATGTAGTTCTGCAAAAGAGAAGCAAGYTCCACACTGCATGAGCTGTCAAAGAAAACACACTGCCATCTTAATTTTATTTCTCACTGTTAACTTGAACATGCTGTGGCTGTCAGTGTGACAGGGAGTAAGATATGATTTATTATTTGTGAATTTACAGGTCACTGTGCAAATGTTAAATTGGAGCATTAGCAGTATCTGCTGTTGGTAAGATGTCCCACTAAGTAACTGCATTATTTCTCCAGTGTCATTTTTCAAACAGGCGAAACCATGTTTTCTGGATGTTTTAAGAGATGTGGAGATACAATGCACAGGTTTTCAGGGAAAAAAACAGTTTTCAATAGTAAATGCAGCCCAGCTTGATCACCTGTATACTTTGATTCTCTTTGTAAGCTTTTCTCACAGGSTGTATGTGAGCTATGGGCTGTCATTTTGAATCTGACAGGGCAAGGAGTCCTTCAGACTGCCATAAATCAGTAAAAAGATTTTCAAGTGGAATACTGTCACACAGGAATACCAGGAATGCCAGAGTCCTGAAGAAGAACTGTGTTTAGTCAGAAGGTCCCACTTAGACCTCAAAAACCCAGCTAATGTAAACAAAATTTTACAGAGAGGAACAGCAGGAACAGATAGTCAGAGCAAGAGCTCAGACCCATGGCTCATCAAACTGCTTTTCTGAACAAATGGTGGTTTTTGAGTGGTTTTGCTAATTACCCAGGAATGGGAAGGGAACTAAAATAATTCAGCTTCAGTTTCTTGGGAAAATGTGACAACTATTATATCATCACCTGATAACTACCAGCATCCATGATCCTCTACATCCAAGGCTCTAGGGATATGAAAGGTGTGGTATACAGAAGTGCACTGTGCAACACATACCTGACCCCTGCCAACCCTGACACTCACATTAGTTACTCACTGCGAGTTTTAGACTTTGAGGTAAGGGAAGATGGGTGGTGCCAAGTAATTTCTTTCTTCTTTAGGGTCATTTTTCATACACTCATACAAACTGTGGAAGGTTGAGAGCAATGTCCTTATGATTCTAAGATAATTAGGTCCATCTGTCTTATACAGGGAAGGGACATTGATTTCTATGGAAAGATCATCCAGAAAGCCATTGCGCTGAGACATGACCTCTGAATATGGGAATTTTTAGCAAAAAATGTTGCTATTACTCCTAGTGGCACTTTTACCCATCTCAAAGACAGGATTAAAGCATCTGCACCTGCTCTCCCTAAGCATGTCCAGGTCACACTAAATAGCAGGACCTTTCCTGCAGCAGCTACAGGTCTGCAGATTGCAGACCTCATTGCAGTCATGCAGGATAATGGTTGAGAACAATTCATCTGAAACTGAGACAGGTATTCCTAAAAGCTCCGTGATAAAAAGACAAAGCAAGTTTAGTGTCTTGTATACGTAATATTTTTGCTATGGATTGATGTAAGAGAGAACAGACACAGGAAGGATAATTCTGTAAAGTAGGTGGAAAGCACAAAATATCTTGGGTATGAAATTTCAGGAGCCTTCCAAGTGTGTCACTATTCCAAGAAGTTTTTGTAAGAGGGACTTACCATTACAGCCTCCATCTTTTTCATCCTTCTACATATTACAAGAGCCACCAAAAAGAGATTTTTCACAGCAAGGAGGAAAKGTTTACACAAATCAAGAAGTACACCAACCCATTAATGTTAAAGCAACTGTGATTGTGTTTCCCAGAGGATATGTAGCAAGGGAAAAGCCCTCAGAATACGGAGTAACTGTGTT